GCTCAGGGCAGGTCTGCGCTTGCACCTGTCCAGGGAACGTGCAAAGGGGCAGAGCCACGCAGGCAGCGGGAGCTCCCTTGCTGGACGTCTGCCCAGAGCTGGCGCCAGTTCCACGGGAGGCACAGCAACCGTGACTCGGAGGCCGCGGTCCGCGAAGAAGGGAGCACGAACGCAGCGGTGCGGTGGCCTGAGATGTGGTGGCTGGGGGGGCGTGGGCGTGGGGCCAGCTGCATGTTGCCTTGTGGAAGCGTTTGTTCAGTTTCTCTCTCTGCCAATAAAATGTGGGCGTGGGTAACCGAATGGCAGCCTCCTGTTTCCAAGAGAATCTGGCTGCCGCCCTCCTCCTCTTCCATCGTCGGGTCCGTGTGCCAGTCTCTTTCAGGCGGGTCCCGGCCAGTCTTCTCTCCGCTGGGGCATTTGCATCTTCCAGCCACCGTCCCGCCACCAGGCCTCTGGTCTCCTGGGGAGCCGGCCTTGGAAGGATCCACAGGCAGAGGCGTCCCTTGAGCACCGCGGTCCATCGGGAGCCCCGGATGCCGCTCCCGCCCAGGGTCCTGGCAGGAGCAGGTCTTGCTTCTGGGAAGACCCCCGCTCTGATGCAAGCAGGGGCTTCCACCAGGCTCCCGTGCAGCACCTCCTGCGGCACTGTGGAATGAACGGCATGCCCCCGCTCAGTAGAGACCTGCTGTGCTCCGAGTGGACCTGTGGTTGGGGGGCGCAGTGCGGTCCACGCGTCTTAACCAGGTCCCTGCCGGTTTCCGCCTTTTTTCCTAAGCTGAAAATCCCCAATCCATAGAAAAGGGGTGGGGTTGGGAGTCGGAGTGGGCAGACACCATACCAGAAATGGGGAGGTTCTACGAGGGATTTCTTTATGAGAGAAGATCAGCACCAGGTTATTGTCGGAGGGGCCAGAAGGTGAACAGCTGCCCCATACCATGGCTTGTCTGGACAGGAGCCCCTCTAGTCCCCTTCAGGCAAGGAGACCAATCCGGCATGGGCCATGCTTCAAAGTCCTTGACGCCTGCAGAAAAGGGAGGGCCGGGATGTCTCAAGCGGTGCGTGATTCTTGGGGACGCCCTTGCTGAAGTGGGGCCACCGTGGCTTCCTGGATGCTTCTTCCAGCCACAGCCCGGGATTCCTGGGGGGTCCTCCACCCAGCTGCAATTAGAGCAGCAAAACAACAACAACAACGGCGGAAGGAAATGGAGAACTGGGTGGGGCTGCTCCACATCAAAGGCCCCAGAGCATGCAGGGCAGGGGTGAGATTTCCAGAAAACTGGCGCACCCAGAGAGCTCCTTTCCCCCAGGTGCAGCCTCCCTTAATGCTGCTTGACTTGTTCTCTGCCTGAAACCAAAGGAGCCCCGCCTCACCGGGAAGAAGCCGAAGCTCCAACTGGAGCTGGTCTGGGGGACAGAGGGGTTGCAGAAAGACAGCCATGGGAAGGAAGAAAGGGAGGGAGGGGTTCCCCAAAAGAGCAGAATGAAGAGGCAGCATGTTTTGGGGCCCAATCAAAGGGGGAGGATGCCTAGCGATCAGCAGAGCACCTCAGACATCCGTATACATTTTCACTAGCAAATGCAGATGAAAAGATCAGCCCGGCATGCACTTAGAAGAGGCTTAATACAGACGGTGTGGGTTGACGGGGGGAGTCATTTGTGTGGGCCGAGGTAGCTTACTAGAACCTCCAGATTCAGAGAAGTCTACCTCAGTGGCTGAGAAAAGTGATGACATCTCTCCCTCGGGTTCCTAGAGGCTTCCACTGGCCACCGCTGGTCCCTTGAGTCCAGCGCGGCTCCGACCCGGCTTGGTCCCTGCTTGACCTCTCAACGCCTGGCGTGGGAACCACCAGGCCACAGTCCCAGCCCTGGAGGAGGGAGAGGCTGGAGGGCTGAAGATGCAGCCTGCAAAGGCGATTTCTTCTCGGCCAGTGGGCACTCCGCTCGGCCACTGCCCAGCCCCAGGCCTGCACCCCATGCAGCTACTGCAGAAGAGGAGGCTGGGCAGGGGCAGTTTCAGCACACCCCTTGCCCTTTCCTCTTTTTTAAATTCCAGCCTGGAGAACCACGGGCACACCATCATTGGGGCAGCCCCCCATGGAGGAACAAAGCAGCGATGCTACGACCCTTGGCGCTTCAGGCCAGCCCCTCAGGCAAACTGGCTCTCCCAGGAGTAGCTTCCCCACAGGTAGAGCCCCCTCGTTGGCACTGCTGGTGCCCAGCGGTGGGAGGCTTCTGGGGAGCAGCTCTCCTTTGCAGCATTCTTCACAGACCCAGGCCTCGGAGGGCCTCGGGGGGGGGGGGGGGGGGGGGGGGGGCTGGGTCCCAGACCCTAGATGGCAGCCTGGGGAGAAGTTGGAAAGGTGCCCGGCTTCTGCCCGTCGATGCAGTCGCAGCCAGGTGCAGGAGTGCCACCATGTCAGACCGTGGTTGTGGAGCCGAGGCCTTCCATCAGGCCTTGCTGATTTTCTTTGCAAGGGGCAAAGCCTTGCCCTCACATCAGGAGGAGTCTGGTAGCATCTGAACGCTTCCGCCAATTCTGAATAAAGTTTGAGAGTCAGAAAAGGAGCTGCCACACTCCTTCTGAGTTTAACCGCTGCAGACTAACCCGGCTCTCCTCTACAATGCCTTACCCTCAAAGGTGTTGGAGGGGAGGGCTGGTCCTGGGGAGATCCGGGTTCAACTCTACCCTCAGCCATGGAAACTCCTGTGGGGAAGAACAGGAGGAGGGAGACTCTGCCTGCCACCTTCAGCTCCCGAATAGAAGGTGGGATAGAAAAGTCATAGAAACAGTCCATAAATATTCAGGGCCTCTGGGCTCCCTCGAGCCACCCGGACAGCCTCTGCATCTGCTGTGCTGTCCCTTGACCACACAGGCCACTGAGGCAGCGTCCACCCTTTTTGCCAAATGTCCAACTGCCCTGTCTGCTAGGAAGCTCTGAAGTGGCTGGATTTTTCTGGTCAGCTGAACCCACACCTCCCAGGCTGCTGGCTCCCAGGTGTTTAGCTCGGGAAGCTGCGTCCCCCTGGCCTAATTTCCACCGCGGGTCTCTGCCCCCTCCCCATTCTTGGTCCTCGCAGCCCAGGCGCAAGTTTGCTCGCTTAACCCAGAGCCTGCCCTCTGACATGAGGCTCCCCACAGGGACCCGAACGGCCCCCACCCTACCGGTGTTTTTAACCCAGGTTCTTTTTGTTTGTTTCCATCCAATCTGCTGTTCCGCCATCTCTACCCTTTTTGTTTCTTGTTGTTTTTATTGTTATGTTTTAAATCACTTGTCAGCCATCCAGAGTTGCTGGGAGTCAGGTGGCAAATAAACATTAAAATAATACTAAACACTCGATCAGGGGACCTCTAGCCTGACCGGGTCGGGGGTCAGCGTGCCCGAGCGGCTTCGCGTGCCTGCCCACCGGGCGCAGGGGCTGGGCTTCTCGGCCAGGAGCGGAAGGGACTCCCGCGCCCGCTGCGCCCGCTGGGCTCCAGAGACGCCGTTTTGCCCCGGGCCAGCCGCCTTCAAAGGCTCCCGGTCCTCACGCAGGCAGGCAGCCTGCGCGACGCCGGTTCTGCAGAAAG